ACCAATGGAATGGAGACCATGCTACCAGTCGAATACAATACGACCTCTTCGCTCCCCACGGATGAACTCATCGAGTGTCAGCATGCTAACATTGAAGGGGCAATGCTGCCCCTCAATCTCGTGGAAGAAACTCGAATCTGCTAAGTGCTTTGATAGGAGGTTATTTCGATGAATATTTTCGGGAGAATTATTTTGCCTCGAGTGATCTTGTCCTGAAAAAGGATGTTCCAGCAACCTGTGGGCAAGGGGTCAGTAAGTTAGACCAGAATTGGAGCAGGCCTTACATAGTCAACCAGCACTTCTCTTGTGAGGCTTATCTACAAAAGACATACACCAAAAAGGAACTTCAACCGATGTGGAGTGGAGAAGAATTAAAAAGTTTTTTTTTCCTTAAAAAAACTTTGGTTTCTTAATTTATTCCTTGTATACATAAAGGGAAGTATCTTTACTTATTTTAATTTTAATTAACACAATAAAAGATAACCTAATTCTTATTTCAATGTCTCATCCCCCTAAGATACTTGGGGAATTAAGCCTGGTCTAACTCTGCCAAAATGATCAATCTCTCTGACCAACTCCGGGCGAGCCAAATGGAGTCATAGGAGAGGCACTATCAACTGATTGACAAGAAGATGACCATGATACAACAATAATAAAGAACTACAAAGAACAAAATGTGATAAAAAAAACATGACAAGAATAAAAAGGTAATTTTGTTCACTTCAATTGAAACATACAATACATCTTGGTAATTTTGGATCGAGCAGTGGGAGCGAATCTCTCAGTGGCCACAGTGAGGACCAATCAGCTAGTCGGTAGCTTTTTTTTTCTTATTATACCTGAAAGCTTATTTCCATTATGAAAGAAGATTTGTAATTCTTTCCTTATATTAATGAAAAGAAAATTTTTGTCTTTTCTTGAAAAGAAAACATTTTATTTTACTTGGGCCAGCCCATGGATTATGAGAAACTGATTAATCTCACTGCCTTGGTCGGTTTGACTTTTATTTCTTCTGGTATTGGGGATCAAGGCACTAAACTCGGATGGGTCAGTGCCTTGATAAATTCTTTCAAATTATTATTTTATTACAAATAACATTATTAGAATTCTTCTAACTGGGAAACATTGGGGATCAAGGCACTAAACTCGGATGGGTCAGAAAACTTTAGCTCAACCAAACCATGGTGAACTTACCACTGGGTATCACACTCGATCCCTAGCCTAAGTTGTTCCACCAACTCCTCTCAAGAAATGAGCAGCACCAATTTCCTCTTAAGTTCGGTGACCTCCTTTTTCAACTACTCCTCCCTTTGTTTGGATTGCTGCAGCTTCAACCTAGTGAAGTTTCAGTTATCGCAAGCTCGCTTGAGATCACTGGCCAAGCGGGCTACTTCTTCGTATGACTTTAACAGGCTCTCCTTAGTTGTCCTCAAGGAATTTTCCCTTTTTAGAAATGCAAATTCCAAGAAGTGAGAAGCCTGATTCACCTCCAGGTACGATCTAGTGACGCACTCTAGAAGTTTCTCATAAGAGAGCCCCTTGAGCTAAATCTGAAACACCGAAGACTAAGTCATTTCTGCCAAAAGAGGCGAGATATGTTAGGTGTCGACCAAAAAGGGATGTTAGTCTTTTGAAAAATCAAACAAGTTGAACAGTTCATCACCACTCATCCATAACATTCCTTCACCCCCTTTCAGCGAATGTCAATCAGCGTACCTCCGCTTCTTCGTCAACGAAGGGAGGGCCGAAACATTAGCACCCTCCACCAATTTTTTCTTTTCTCAAGGGACGGTTTGCCCCTCTAAAAACATCAAAGATTCAAAACTAAAAGAAGAAGCAAAACCCTATGAAGTGGAACCGACCGAAGTGACAGGAGATTAAGCCACCCTAGCCCTCTTAACTAAAGCCAGGTGAGCGGCATCGGGTCGGGCATTCAACGGAGAAGCGACGATAGGCTCATACAACATGAAGTTGGAAGGACCTTCAACCGCAACCCCCTCTGAGCATCCTCGGAGCATGTTTTTACTCCCCTACCTTGCTCTACAATAATCGAATAAGATCGTAGAATTATGGTTAACTCACTACTCACCGTATCTTGAACAATGATCGTTGTCTCATAAAGTAAAGTTATAAATTTTTTGATATTAGAGTGCACGACATCAAGAGCGGTACCTTTCATGAAGGTCTGACGGGAAGGATCAACCTTCGACTTCCGCCACTGCTTTTTCTCCACTACTTTTGCTTGGCGGTCACGTTGGCGTCTGAAACCCTCCAATCACCTGTGGAATCTTCCCTTCCATCACTCGGTCCACCATCTTTTCTACAATATACTGAGGGACTTACATTAGACTCCCTTCCAACACCTTTTGTACAGCCTGCAGTTCGATCGATAAGGCTCTCAGCTTATTGCACGTCACCTACCGGGGGTGAGTGACAATCTCCCAGTCGTCAGACATAGAGTCGACCAAGAACTTTTTTCACTAGTCCATGATCTTATTTTTGACACCAAGCAAAAAAAGTTTTCACGCAGGCAAATAAATGACTGACCCCTCTTTGTCAACCTTGAAGGAGAAGCAGTGGTCAAAAATGTCAATTGACCAGAGGATACTAAAACAACGATAGAACATTGCGAAGGACATGGTAGCCGCAACGGAGTTTAGAAGAATTTGGGTCAGAATGACCCTGTACTTGACCAACATGCTTTTGAACCTTAGCTATAGGGGCAACCGAGGGTCGTACCTAAACTAATCCTGATAGATACCATATTAGGCTAACATATTTTATCGATAGCTACACAACTAGCATCTTGCGAAGGATAATCTGGGTACCTAATATGTAACTCTTCTGAAGGCTCTCCACCTCTTGGTCCACCATAAAGGAGGAATCAGCCACCCACATGATGCTAAAGAGAACCGCATAATACTTTGGAGCTATTGCAGTTGGACGAAAAGTATGAAAAATAAAGATGGAGAAGAGATCAGAAAACTCGGAGATTTGAACGCAAAAAATGAAAAGAGTGACACTAAGCCCTATTTCTAGGGTGGGCACGCGGGCATGCAGATCGAAGGGGATCATAAAGATAAGTAACACAACAGCTGTCATTCCAAATTCTTTCAAATTATTATTTTATTACAAATAACATTATTAGAGGTTTCAGGCGAAATGTTATAAGAAAGGGTTCTCCGTGGCTTCAGATGGGGCATACCTCTCAAGCATTATCTAGAGAACAATTCCTCCACCAAGCCTAATTTGCTCCATTTGGCTGATCTTGTTATGGAATCAACTCAAAACTGTTGAATCATGGATGACTCTCATCTCAGCAAGGACGTCGTTCATGAAAACTTGGAGTGACGCAACTTCCCCCTCCAATTGGGCAATAACAATAAATAAATATTGAAAGAGGCCTTCAGACACTCATAAGAAGCTAATCATTCTAGCGCAAATGAGCCGGTAGGGTTTTCGCTGCCCGATGCAAAACCTTTGCTAACTCCAACACCCGGCAAGCACCGGCCGAGGAGGGAGTCTCTGCTGCACAATTTGTTCCTGTTGGGCTTCCACCCTCGAAAACATACAGGAAATGTGGGGCAATCACATTAAGGTGCCCAACGACAAAGACAGGGGGCGAGTCGACCACATATCTAAACGGCCTACTGCCTTCGACATCCTCCGTCTCGATTGGCACATCTACATTTAAAAGGAATATCAACTTATTGCGCCTGCCAAAGACCAAAAGAATTCCTTATATGCCTGTGTGTCTCTCTAGCTCCGACCCAATAATATGAAGACCTTCCTCTCTTGCTAGGGCTCTTCCTCTTCTTTCCTCCAGGGGTAGCGGTGAAGGGCCATTTGCCAACTCCACTATCGGATTATTGCGATTGTTAGTCACCGCCTCCCTGGACATGATCGATGGGTCCACTGCAACTCTGTCCTCACTCGAGCCAGAATCTGTCGGCGTCAAGAGAAGCCTCTTGGACAACCACTCTCTCCTCTTCACCCTTTTAAACACCTTTCTTTTGAGACCAATTGCGGAAGCATAGGGGGATATCCTGCAAGGGACAATAGGCTCGGGTCGGCCGTCTTTTTGCTCATACCACCCGACATGATGGTTACTCAATAGTCCAGCAAAATTCGACGATAGATGAAAAACCCAATTCCTTATCTTATTTATAAGACACACAAGATACAAAATAAAGGGAAAACTAAATATTAATTATTTTTTGGTTGCCATAACAAAATTAACTAATAATTTCCCAGTTCTTATCGCAACTGACGCCATCAAGGATCATGAACTCGAGGAACTAATATGTATATATATATCATAACTACTAGCACAAATCTCAAAGATAACAAATAACTGAGAATACAAAATTTCCCTCCAGAGTAGGCGATTTACTAACAATTCAACACCAAGTATGAGAATCCACTTCTCTAAACCCGAAATAGATTAAAGCTCCAAAGATAATCTTCTACTCAATAACGGTAAGATTCACCAAAGGGTAATACAATCGTCCCGGTAGTGAGTTTCATCAGATACTTTGCATAGACAACGACAAGATCCGCTCAAGTCTTTGCGAGAGGGATGATTTGGCCGGCGCAGCGGACCAACCAGGTAGTCAAGATACATGCCTTACAAGACTTGAGACAAATAGCATGTGAGCGAAAACTTGCCCAACAAATTGGGTTGAACCATCAGTCGACTGCCCGATCGAAGTGACAGGTCCAACAGAACCAATCGGCCGGACCTCTTGCCAAGATAACCAAAGCTAAAAAAGTGGAAAACCAGGAGGCGTGAATCCATCTCCACCCAACAGCTCCCACCTAGCAACTGTTTTATCCAAACAACACATGAATTTTATAGACCGTAGTATTAGAGTTCAGTTTTTCCAACTATTACTAAACAAAATTTTCTCAACGTCTGATCAAACGAGACTTCAGTAAATTCGAACGACTGAGACGGATTGTAAATCATACAATTACAATTTCACGTAGTTATGAGTTGTATGAGTTGTAGAAGTCTTTCTCCCCTCTCGCACGCCTCTCCTAGCTTCTTCCTCTGACCTCTTCGTCTCCCTTCACTCAAATTCCTTTCACGACACCTGGAAAAAACCAGGTAGGGAAACCAGAAAGAGAGGAAAAAAAGATGAAATTTTTATCTCTTGTTCTTCCTTCTATCGCCATCCTCCTCTTCGCCGGCGTATCTATTGCTTCGGGCATCACTCTCGGCTCGACACTGACGACCACCAAGTCCTCCTGGTCTTCCCCCAACAACACCTTCTCTGTAACCTTCATCTCCGACTCACAAAACCCTTCCCTGTTTCTCGCCGCAATCACTTACATCGGCGGCGTTCCCATCTGGTCCGCCGGACCGGTGGACTCCGGCGGCACTCTCCAGCTACAATCCGACGGCAACCTCCGCCTCTCTAATGCTTCCGGCTCATCCGTTTGGGAATCAAGAACTGCTAACCGCGGCGTCACCACCGCATCCCTCGATGACACAGGTAACCTCAAACTCAGCAACGGAAGCAGTTTCATTGTGTGGGAGACCTTCGAAAACCCTACTGATAGCATCGTGGAATCCCAGAACTTTACGTATAAGAAATTTCTCCGATCCGGGGATTATTCCTTCACCGTCCTTCAAACGGGAAACCTAACCCTTACATGGAATAGCTCCATTACCTATTTCAATAAGGGACTGAACTCTTCTTTTGATTCCAACAAAACCCTTGATTCTCCGGTGATTATGCTACAGACCGACGGAATTCTTTCACTTTTCGATAATACTCTTCCGAGCTTTGTTATTATCGCTTACAGTAGCAATTTTGGAGAGAGTGGCGACATGCTTAGGTTTGTTAGATTGGATAAAGATGGGAATTTGAGGGCATATAGTGTTCCTCGGGGAAGCAGCACTGCTACTAGCCGTTGGTCGGCTGTGGAAGACCAGTGTGCTGTATTTGGGTGGTGTGGCAACTATGGCATTTGCAGCTATAATGATTCGTCGCCAATATGCGGCTGCCCATCGGAGAACTTTGTACCTGTGGATCCGAATGACAGCACAAGGGGTTGCAAGCGGAAGATGGAGATCCAGGATTGCTCTGAAAACTCTACCATGCTTGAACTGGACAATACCCAGTTCTTGACTTACCCACCTGAGGTATCCAAGGAGCAGTTCTATGTCGCCATCACGGCTTGCAGGCAGGTCTGCCTGACTGGTGGATCATGCGTTGCCTCAACCTCGCTTGCTGATGGTTCTGGTCTTTGCTATCTCAAGTTCTTAGATTTTGTCAGTGGTTATCAGTCCCCTTCCCTCCCCAGCACTTCTTTTGTCAAGGTCTGTGCTCCGGCTGAGCCATATGCACGGTTATCTGATTCAACTCAATCTCAGACCAGTTCATCAAAGTTGAAAACGTGGGTGGTGGTGGTGGTGGTTGTGGGCACAGTTCTTGGGCTGGTGGTGGTAGAGGTTGGGTTTTGCTGGTTCTTTTGCCTCAATGGTCCTAAGTTTGGTCAATCTTCTGTGCAGTATGCTCTTTTGGAGTATGCATCTGGTGCTCCAGTGCAATTCTCATACAAGGAATTGCAGCGCACAACAAAAGGATTCAAAGAGAAGCTTGGTGCTGGTGGTTTTGGTGCTGTGTATAAAGGAGCTCTTGCAAACAAGACAGTCGTTGCTGTGAAGCAGCTGGAGGGGATTGAGCAAGGGGAAAAGCAGTTCAGAATGGAGGTGGCTACCATAAGCAGCACTCACCATCTGAATCTGGTGAGGCTGATTGGTTTTTGCTCTGAGGGGAGGCACAGGCTGCTGGTCTATGAGTTCATGAAAAATGGATCTCTGGATAGCTTATTATTCTCTGGAGACTCTGGAAAGTTGAATTGGGCGACCCGGTACAAGATTGCAGTTGGCACTGCAAGGGGAATAACTTACTTGCACGAGGAATGCCGAGGAATGCCGAGACTGCATTGTTCACTGCGACATAAAGCCGGAGAACATTCTACTTGATGAAAACTACAATGCCAAAGTTTCAGATTTTGGACTTGCAAAGCTGTTAAATCCAAAAGATCACAGACAAAGGACCATGACCAGTCTTCGGGGGACCAGAGGCTACTTAGCTCCCGAATGGCTTGCGAATTTGCCGGTGACTTCGAAATCTGATGTCTATAGCTATGGGATGGTTTTGCTTGAGATTGTGAGCGGGCGGCGAAATTTTGATGTTTCAGATGACACGGGGAGGAAGAAGTTTTCTACTTGGGCTTATGAGGAGTTTGAAAGAGGGTGCATTAAGAGTTTCATTGATAAAAAACTGCTGGACTATGAGCTTGACATGGAACAACTAGAAAGAGCAGTCCAGACATCCTTCTGGTGCATTCAAGAGCAACCATCTCAGAGGCCTTCGATTGGGACGGTGGTGCAAATGCTCGAGGGAATCATAGAGATTGGAAGGCCTCCACCTCCAAAGGCAACTGATAGCTCTTCTACCACTGATAGTGGCAGCATGAACACTAGCACCCATTCGATTGCTATTGGTTCTGGGCCACATCCTTCTTCTTCAAGTTCTGTTCAAGGAAAAACTCCAAATTTATCAGTTTCTTTGGTAAACCGAGGAAAGGTTTCTTCATCACTGCCTGTGCAAGAGCAGTCTGCAAGTCGGTAATTCATATTAGGCACTGGTTTCTTCTGTTATCTTCAGGCTTTACCAACTGTATTATATGTAATTTTATATCTTCGTGTAGTGTTGTATTTTATTTTATTTTGCTGGGGTGTTCAAGGTCTAGCATTTGTGCTTTCAATAGTATGGTTCAGAGCAAAATTGGTGATGAGCTTATGCGGACTGAGAAGCATATCTTCTTTGGAACATCTCAAGACTGAATGAATTATTATAATTTTAAAGACCTATTATCTTCAATTGCTGTCTCAGAAGAGTTGTTCTTGTTCCTAGAATTTCTGCAGGGGTTTGTCCTTACCTCAACCGTACCTGCTGGCTTGTGCTTAATTTTGATGGTGCAGTTAAATTTTAGAAGAAAAAACCCGCCAGTTTTATTGCTTTTTTTAAAATGCAAGGAAAATGTCATTGTTGTGGACATGGAAAGGCTTGAGATGGTCTTGATTTATTTCTAAAAAAGGGAGTCCTAGTTTTTTATATTTATTTCGCTTACATGTGAAAATATAAGATGCATGATAAAATATAATGGCAAAAGAGAGGGAGATTTTTTTTATTATTGGAAGTTGAGTCTTGATGGCAATTAGATTAGAAGTTACTTGTTAGTTGTTATGGTGTGTTTTGCATATGTTAATTATTATGTTATGTTATTGAGTAATGATAGAATATTAAAAATTAATATTTTTTTATGATGCACCAAGACAAAAGGTGTAAATACATTATATTATTTTATAAATATTTATAAATTTCTAGATATGTATAAAATCACACCAACAATCACCATCAAAGATCTTTAACATTTGATTGGGTTAATTGATGATCGTTATGAAATTAGCATCTATCATTGATATCAAAACTAACGCATATGGTCAACACTAATGTTGAAACTTGATTTTTTGTCACACTCCGGGTCTGGAAGGTGGTACACATCGACGACGTATGACATGATAAAATGAATTGAACATGTTTGTATTTTCAAAATGAAGATTATATGTAAATAATAATAGAAATAACAATGAAATATAAATTGTATTATATCATTAATAGTTCATTGATACAGCTGAAAATAAATAGAGAACTGATTGAATCAAAACTGAAATGACAATAAGATAGTACTATTCATAATAAAAAAAATGCATTAACTAAAGCAAATGATGAAAAAAAAAATCAAGATAGAAAATCTAAAACTGTCATGTCTACTATGATGGAGCAAATGATGAAAAAAAAAATCAAGATAGAAAATCTAGAACTGTCATGTCTACTATGATGGAGACTGTCCTGCTGATGGCTGACGAGAGCTTATTTTTCAAAATGCTCAGCATTGAGTTTGATAAGCAAATTTAGTAAATAACAATTATTTGTTAAAACATAAATGAATAATAAATATGAATGATTACTACTTACATATATATAGTCAATGACAACAATAGTGCTAAACAAAATATACTCAATTATCTGAAGGAAACATGCATTCATTTCATGTTTATTTTTATTAATAAGTTTTTTATTTATATTTATATAGTCAGTTTTAACACAACCCAAAACCAAGAAGGTAAAAACCTATTGATTTCCTATAAAGTCATCATTTTGTGGGTTTGTTAGTCGGACTAGCCAATATCTAAAGGGTTCCATCAATCGACATATATTATCACGCACAAGTAGCCAAATTATATTCACATGTATAATATGTAAAAAAATATGATATTTCATGCCGACTTGTGATATGACATATGCAAATTCATACAAGTAAAGTTAATATAAAGAAAATATCATAATTGTAAGATTAAATCAGATATGCAGAAAATTTTGCAGCACAAAATTAATACAACAAGTTACTTCATTATGAGCAATAAATGAGACAAAAAAATGAAGTAGTAAAATCATGATTGACATACAAATGAAATAATTATGATTATGCTACAAATAACAATAATTGATGCCCCTAATTATAAAGGGTACATTTGTGTTATGAAAAACAACGACAATAAAGTGAAAAATGAAACGAGTAAAATTGCACGCAGAAAAACACCAGAGCGACACACAGATTTACGTGGTTCGGCAAATTTGCCTACGTCCACGCCTACGTCCACAGAGGATTTTATTTCTTCATTTCTTCAAGAAATTACATCGTCGAGCGCCTCGACGTTTACAAGAAAATCTTTATTCTCTTCTCTCCCTTCCTCTCTCTCTTCCTCTTTTTCTCTTAGCTCTTAAGAGGACTTGGCTTGACTTTGCTTGGCTTGGTTTTTGGCTTTAAACCAAAAAAGGCTATTTATAGAAACTATGAGAGTGGTAGGTGGGCGGTAGGTGGGATGTGGTAGGTGAGAGGTGGGTGGGATGTGGTAGGTGAGAGACATTCTTAATTAGGAAGCTAATTAAATTCGGTGGATCGGGTCTCCACATTACCCAACAATTCTCTCACTTAGAGACTGAGACACTGACTACATCACCTACTGGCAACATCATCTACTAACTGTACCGACTTTTTCCTTAAACATGATATCCCCTACCTCTGCAACTCAAATCCATGTCTTCATGTCAGAAGACCAGTACAACTTCAGCTTCTCACGAGTTACACCCTCAGTTGACATATCACCGTCAATGTAACCTTGTACAACCAAGCTCTTTCCTGAATTACTCCTGTATCTGCTTATAACTCCCACTGCACGAGCACTATCCTGCCCTTGCTGAAAGCCCTTTTCAATAAGTTCATCCATGTATCTCTTACTGCCACCAAATACAATCTTCACCCGGTACACCCACTTGTTGTGTAATGCCTTCTTCCTTGTTGGAAGTTCTGTCAGCTCCCAAGCCCAATTCCCTGACAAAGAATCTATCTCCTCTTCTTCCTCCTTCTTGGTCAGCTCCCACTTACTCGAATTCTCATCTTGCAAGATTTCTTCATAACTCTGTGCTTCTCCACCATTGGTCTGTACAAGGCCTGATTTTCCTACCTTTGGCGCTCTGCCACTTTTTCAGGAAATTGGTCTTCTTCTGCTTCCCCATAATACATCTCTGATTAATGTGTCATCGCCTGGGTAAACATGTAGTCATATATAGTGTGTCAGTTTTCTTACCCTGAGCCAGTACTAATGCTCATTTGGTAACCTTTCAGGTGCTATTTGAGAACACTACCGAATGACCTCCATTATTGAGCTGCCCAACAGAGATGAGGGTTTCCTTCAACTCAAGAACGTGTCTGACCATTTGCAAAGTCCATTTGCTCTTTTTAAGGAGTGCAATATCAACGTCTCCCATCCCCACCATGTCCAGAGTTTTTCCAACAGCCAGATATACATTCCCAAAGTCACCTGCAACATAATTTTGCATTAACTCTCTACCGGAAGATGTAAGTAAGGAAGTCATTGAATCTAGTATCCAATCATCAACAGAACTGTGAACTGTCAGCAATAGCGCATCCTGTATTTCTTCAGATACAACATTAACATCATCATTATCCTTCTTCTTAGAATTCTTGCAGTTCCTTTTTATGCAGGCAACATTGCCATAATTCTAACAGGTTGCCTGTTGACCAGACTTTGATTTTGATCTTCCTCTGTTTGAGTTCCTATCATGTGATCTCCCTCTGGAATCAACATTCGGCTTTGAACTTGAACATGAGACCTCGTCAGAATCCTTTCTGCGCACCTCCTCAGCCAAAATCAAATCACAAATATCATCATATTTCAACTTAGATTTAACTGCAGAACTACTAATTGTATACCTCCCATTCTCTTGGCTTCCTAGCTATTTAGCAATGAAGCCAATAATATCAGTGCACGTATCTCATCATTAAAATCAATTTCAACAGACGACAACTGAATTGTGATAACATTAAAATCATTCAGGTGTAAATCATTTAGATGTTGAGCAACACAGACACACCTTTAACCATCTTCAAGTTGAATACCTTTTTCATCAGATGCACCTTGTTATTCGCCGATGGCTTTTCATACATACCTGACAAAGCCGCCATGAGATTTACAGTAGTCCTCTCCTTGTGACATTGTGGGCAACCGATCTCGACAGAGTTGATCGTATAACCCCCACAACCTGTTGATCCAACAAATTCCATTTCGCCTCGTCCATCTTTTCTGGTCGCTTTCTCAGTAACGGAAGATGAAGTTTCTTCCCATAGAGGTAGGCTTCTATCTACATCCTCCAGTAAGCAAAATCTGTGTCATTGAACTTCTCGATCCCCGATGTCATCACTTCGTCTTCGCCCATTGTTCTTCCTTAGATTCGAACCCAAACTCTGATACTAGTTGTTGTCAAAAACAAAGGCAATAAAGCGAAAAATGGAACGGAAAAATGGAACGAGTAAAATTACGCAGAAAAACACCAGAGTGACACACAGATTTACGTTATTCGACAAATTTGCCTACGTCCACGGAGCTGCAGAGAATTTTATTTCTTCGAGGAATTATACAGTCGAGCGCCTCAACGTTTACAGGAAAATCTCTATTTTCTTCTCTCCCTTCCTCTCTCTCTCTCCCTCTCTTTCTCTTAACTCTCAAGAGGACTTGACTTGTCCTTGCTTGGCTTGGCCCTTTGGCTTTCCTTGGTCTTTTTTGGCTTGGCTTTTGGTTTTAAGCAAAAAGAGGCTATTTATAGAAACCATGAGAGTTGTAGAAGAGAGGTAGGTGAGCGGTAGGTGAGATGTGGTAGTTGTGCGGTAGGTGAGAAAGTAGTTGAGCGGTAGGTGAGATTCTTAATCAGGAAGCTAATTAATATCGGTGGATCGGGTCTCCACATTACCCAACACATTTGTCCTCTAATAAAAACAGTCACTGATCTTGAAGTGACAAACACGATACTTTTACGAATTCATCAGTTCAACTAGTGATCTTATACAACTTAGAATTTAACATATGATTATTTATATAAATTATGCTAAAAGTAGCTGCAGTAGGTTGGAGATCTTCATTCTCAGGTTTGATTTTTCATCTTTGTTTGTGAAATATGCTAATTACCAGTAGAAATTGGAAGAAATGTTTAATATATAAGCTTACGAAATCTTTTTGTTTCCAACAATACCAAAAATATGATACTCCGACATGAAACTAGCAAGTTATGCTAAAAATAGCTATGGTATGTTGTAGTTCTTCATTTTTCAACTATGATTTTATCTTTATTTGTGAAATCTGCTAC